TCTGACCTCACTCCACCCGTAGGATTTGCGTGGAATACATGTGCTTTTGAAATGCAAGACTGCGTTTACGTCAGTCATTATCATTGCAATGTTTTCTTCGACAATAAGGAATGAAGTACTATGTATGCTTGTTTTATTTGAGGTCTGAAGAAGCTGTTACCACAGCGAAAGCTTACCAATGAAAATTTCATATCGAGTACTCATTGAATATTGTTGAAGAAAACATTAGAGGCTCAGGGATAGCTCAATTCTATCAAACCTATACGTTGATAAAATCGAAGATTAGGGATAAAGAATGCAAAATCTGTAAAAGCACTCAAAAGTTTCTTACTTTTCCAGAGTCCTGGCAGCAACTCACGCTGTTAACAAGTTGTTCAACACCGTGAGAGCACCCTGGTATGACCTGTAAATGAGGCTCATTAACATCTGACTTTAGAGAAAACAGAAACATTCATTACCTGCACCCTGGATAAGCCAGAGTCAAGGATAACGACATCGGTACCTACCGCACAAACCTAAACAAGAAAGTATAGTTTTTTGATAGTCAAACCTCAAGGTAATCTATTTCCATAGCATTAAGTCTGAGCCATCAAAGTGCTACACAAAAGAACATAATCTATTTCATAACATTCATTCTGAGCCATTTCAGTGCCACACAAAAGAACAATGTCTTATTACCGACCAATAAGCTATTTCGGTTGTGGGTTGAGGGTCAAGCGTGAGTAGTGGAATCTTGGACGAAAGGATCGCATATGACTCGCTCAAAGGTGGACGCATCTACGAAGTCATTAGAGAGCAGGGCACTCACCGAAGGTGTAGTTACAGGAAGCGCATTAGTTAACAAGACAGATATACAGGGGGGGGGGCAAAAAAAAGTCACTTCGACCGAGTCACATATCAGCAAAGTTTTCGCAGCCCAGACAGAGGACATGGATACGGGAGGCGGTCGTATGGCGTGGCTGGCAGCTGTCCTACCGTAACTGGGACGCTGCTGGACGCTAATTGACACCTCCCTGAGCCTGGGCAGCCGCTCCCTTGGACCGGAGAACTCGTCCACAGCTACGTAATTGACTCGCATCATTGATCGACCCACAATAGTAGGACGCCTCCGTAGACGCCGAATTGCGTACTGGTCGCCCAACCACCCATTCTCTTCCGTTTTTGAGCGGGTTTTCGACTTCTTTGGCCTTACCAACTATTTTGAAACCACACTACTAATATTGTATATTGACCATTGCTTATTCATTGCCTTTCTGTACAAGTGCGGAGCTACTAAACCATTGGTGAGTTTTTTTTTGCAGTTGCTTAAAACTTGATTTCTATACTGTTTGCTTACTGGAAGAGCATAGTTTCATGACCATTTTGGGATCATGACACATTCTTCTTCTAAGTTCGCTCACAGTTATTTTTCCTTGTTAACGATCAACACCTAACAAGTGTTTTTTTACCCCTTTGTACACATTAACAGCAGACTATTCAAAAAATTTTATTACACTTGGCTTAAATAATTTTCCTGACACATATCTCGACATGTATCTACAATAATTATCCAGTTCGTTTCACGCCAGGTATCAGCATTGACAGCAACGTTGACCGGTGCCGCTGGAACTGCCTGAAAAACAGTGTAAAGGCCCTGATGAGGGCCGTTAATGTTATAGAAATTAGTAGACATTACGAAAGCAAAACAAGTTCACTCAAAACGAATGCAACTGCAAGTGACGAATAATCTGTGATTCATTTATAAAA